AAATAAAAAAATGGGGGGGGTTTGGGGGTGGGGGGGGGGGGGGGTGTCCCACTATGGACAGCTTTTGGAAACTTTTCGGTTCATAAACAGGCTCTCTTAGGACATTTGAAAGTGGCTTTAGATTAGAGTCTCTTAAGCTTAATGCCTAATAATCAGAACTGTGTATTTATTTCTATATTTGATAATGTTTTCAGTCTGAAGTGTCAAACTCCTTCAGCATGGCAGTTTTGGTTATTCATGTGACGCACGTTACTGAGATGTCACTTCTAGAACACTGTTCGTCCTCTGCCAAAACACTCTTTTCTCTGGTTACCGTTAAAGTTGCCTGACACTAAATGATCACATGAATTCCACAGAGGGACAGTTGCATGTGAGAACAGGTTCACTGAGTGAAATAGCAGATAGAAAAATGTATACGAACTGCAAGGAATAATGACTGGGAGGAAAAAAAAGTTGTAAACAAACAAAAAACCACGAGAGAGAAAAATGTAAAAACTGGCTGCGCAGTGAGCCAAATCCTTACGATTGGTGACATTATTGCAAGAGGCTCTCAACTGAAACAGCTGAAATCTAGTGGAGGTGTGTTAAGCACAATCTCAGTGTCTGCTTCAGCACTGGAATGTATACAGTGCTATATGTATTTCAGTGCTATGGAATAATTACATGAAATTAATTGCATTTAAATTTTATTGTCCAATATTGAAGTTATTGTAGTGAACATAGCTGCTCCATTCACACCTGTGAAAGATACTGTTACTATAGTTTTGAACATTCTTGGGTCCTTTTTCTCCTATTGCTTGTAGAACTGAAGTAAAATATGACTAGAGATTTTATTCAGACACAGACTACTTTCTACTGCTATTCTTTTGAAAATATTCTTGTATCTTGTATTGAGAATGACATTCAATAGGAGTGAAAATACGTTTTGGATTTCTGTGGCACACTTGATATAAATTGCCAAGTTTTCTGACATGACTCCGTATTTGTTATGCTAAAGAAGCTAACTTCCACATACTTATGTAAAATCAAATGCATAAGTCAGTTTTGTGGTATTTTAGAGAGGCTTAGAAGTAGATGGAATAGTTGTGTTTAAAAACAAACAAACAAAAAAACCTTCCTCACTAAGATAAGGATACATGATTCTAAATATTACAGAATTGCTTCTGATCCTTTTGTGAGAAGATCTGTAATTGTATGCTTTCTGTATACAAAATGCCACGAGTTACTCCTAGCTGTAAAACATCCTTTTTTTTTTTTTTTGAGCGTACAGCCTGTGGATGCAAACTTCGTGTCCAGACCCTTCTGCATGGATTGCAGTAGTGTCCAAAGAACTTAAAAATTGCTTTAACGCTGAATGTTCCCCTCCATCTCCTCCTACCCATATAAAACCTTTTGTCACAATCTGAGAAATACCTTGCACGCAGTGGGCATCCCGTAGGCTTTCTGCAGGAGGTTTCTACTGAGAAGTGACAGAGGGCAGCTTGGCAAGTGTTCAGAAACCGACATTAGCTTGCTGGAGCCCGGCATGGGACCTTGTGTTCAGCAGAATTCTTCTGACCTGTCTCTCTGCATGCCGAGCTAATCAGCAAACACCTAATGAGCCTACTCTAAAGAAACAGACCCTCTCACAACCTACTTCATTTTCATATGTTCTCTGGGGGTGGAGAGACAAGACTTCATAAGGACTGATGATGCTGCAAAGACCACAATAATGATAATTAACTTGCTGAATTTAGAAGATTATGCTGTTAATTAGTTGCAAAATAAAGATAAGTAATAGAGCGGCAGATGGTAGGATAACACCCAGGAGAAGGAGGGTTATTACTCTGATGAGCTTTTGTGGCAGATATGAAATATGGATCTAAGTTTTTCCACAAATTGTTTCTGGAGAATATTATCTTGTTTCTGTGAGCTGTTGATGGAATGATCTAGTCCTACCAAATTTTGACAGATGTGGTGAGGATTTGTTTTCAGGGAGATACGTGAACAATAAAACCTTGCTAATAAAGACTTTAAAAGCTATTAAGCTATTCAAAACCACCATTTTTAGTTTCCCTTTAATAAACAAGTAATATCAAACAAACCTTGGTGCTCATCAGGTTTCCTGACATAATAATGCTTACATACATTTATTCTAATATTTGTTTCAATATACTTGATTTTTAAAACTGAGATTATCATCGTATTTGGGGTAACAGTCTCACTACTGACAGGAAACAAAACATCCATATAGTATTTTACTCCAACATCACCTTCTAAAATATGAAACCTTTTAAATACATGAGCTGGATGTCTCCTTATGAAAACTGGAGGAATATCTACAGGTTTTAACAATATTTCTGCCTTTGTGGATAATTTTAATCATAATTATTTGAATTTCAACTTTTAAATTCTGTAATATAAAATGAAACCCGATTATTTTCTGGTTTTGTTTCTATAGTACATTACTTTTAACAATGTAATTTTCAAAAGGTATTTGTTTACCTAGAAATTTACAAAATGATAATGTTTAAATGTTAGCATTACAATAGGGAAGGTTGACTGCACATCCATTGTGCCTGCGGATAGATGTTCTATAATGTAGATAGGATTTTGCTATTTCCTTCACTTTCTACTGCTATTTTCAAATTAAATGTAAAATATACAAACGTAATAGTGTGAACTTCCTTTCTTTTTAGGTTAACTTTGCAAATATTTCTTTAACACAGAAATGCAGAAGTAGAAATGATGGAGCTAGGCAATAATAACAGTTACTTGCCTTATGTGCACATTAAAAAACCAAAACAAACCCTAATTAGTTTTGTTTCATCTCCCAAATCTTCTGAACTTGGGCTGTCTTTCACTAAGGAAATGGGTATGCTAGTGAAACTTTAAGTAACCGGCTTTAAGCAAACACTACAAAGCATTTCTAGGAGTTCGTAGACTGTGTAGTTTTGGAGTATTTTTGTGGAGGATGCTTCCATCAAGACTTGCTTATGCAGTCATAAGCAGAGTAGGTCAGACGCTCTGGCCATACACATGCAAACTGTATAAATGTTTATGCTGCACTGCTAGGAACATTAAGAGTTAGCTTGTTATCACTGAATTTACCTATTCAGACACTTGAGTGGGATGAAATCTAGCCACTTTAACTTCTCGTGGCAGTGGAAGAGGAGTATATGTATGGTAAGTTGCTATGTCTTGGTTGAGTAATTTTTGAGACAGTAGCTTTTACAAACCTCCTAGTATGATGTCTTGAAATAGAAGAGAGCATCCCCTTTAAAACCTCAGCAGAAGTTAAAATAGACACATTGCAACTAATTTATTACAGCTAATTTGTCCTGTCACTACTATCTTGATTTTTAACTCCTGAAAGTTTGTCACATCCTGTTAAACAGCAAGTTATGATACAAGAAATCCTAATAAAGTAATTCCGATAATAAATGAAAACATTTTGAAAAATCAGATGTTAATAACTTATGGAAAGGATATTGGATAAAATTGTCATATTAATGTTAAATACTTGCTAAAATGTGATTTGGAAGTGATGTGCTCCCTGGTAGTCCAGGCAGTAGCTTAGAAAATTTTGCTATTGAATGACCTGGATTAGTTAGAATTTAAAGCGGGTGTGTGTGTGTGGAAGTCATCTTATCAACCTTTCAATTGTTGTAATTAGATTAGAGTTTGTTTTAGTAATTTTAGTTAGACAATTAGAAAACACTTAAGTCTTTCTGCACTTGTTTAACAGGAGATAGGGATTGAAATTTTTTTTATGAGCTTGTTTTTCCAAGGTGAATTAGGAAGGTACAAGTTGATTCTTGAGCTTTAATGCTGTAAAGAAAGAGTTAAAACAACTACTGAAGGACTTAGGATTTTCAGAGTACAGTACATATACTAAGAATGATAGGCATGTTATCTTAAAAAATGTTTGTCGTCCTGCTCTAATGCCTGCAGCTATCCAAAATTATTGGTGTGAGAGCTGAACTCTGGGGAAATTACTGCAAATTTGTCTTGTGTACTTTTCTGAAAGCACTTTCTTCATTCTGGGAAATGTACAAGGTTGATGATACAAAAATGAGGTGGGGAACAGAACTTTGTTAACACTGACTTTTTATGTATGCTTTAACAGTCTCTCTTTGGGGTAATGTGTGCTGTTACGCTCAATCTAGAGCAGTCACTACGGAAGACAGTTACTACAGAAGTCACTGGCTAAATATTCTGTAAGAGCAAGCCAGGTGATGAATGTTGGAGTTTCTTGGTTCTCTTTGTAGTCCTCAAATGGGATATCTGCTGCTGGTGGTCAGGTGCTACAGCCAACTGTATGTATTTGATAGTTGATGTAACTTGCCATATTGCAGACCTGAAGATTTTTTTAGCAATTCTGACAAAGGTAATCTGCAATCAGTTGTTCTAATTGTAAAATAAGATCCAGGAAAGCCTATCGTGCAAGGTAAGGAGAGCACTGTCCCTGTATTCCAATGACTTAATTATTGAGAGACATTGGATACTACAGTTTATAGAGAATATGTACATAGGTGCAAAGTCTTCTGTTTATTTTGAGCTGGCCAAATGCAGCCTAGCTCCAGCATTTTTAAGACATTCTATTAATCTTAGTACTTTGGCAATAGTTTGTTCATATTCCAAAATATGATGATACAAGTTACCAGTTTTGTCATAAACTGTCATGTATTAAGTCATTAATCTTTTCTTAAACTTGTATTGGATTCTTTAAAAATCCAGTGCTTACTAGGAAAATGTTCTTTAATACCATTTGCCTAATAAGGTACATTCTTAAGTAACACAGAAAATTTCACGATAAATTACACAATATTAATGAAATTTAAAGAAAGAATCTGGAATTACAAGCAATTGTATCTATTAAAAGTTAGTATGACCTTTTATCACTTAATCTTAAGAATTTGTTGTAAATAGAATGTATTATCTGTTATAGTTTTAAGAGATTCCACCAAAAGTTGAGTGAAATAATTTTCAGAAAGACAATAAAAGGCTTTAAAATACTCCATCAAGTTGTCAGTAACTCCTGAATATATTATATACAGCTGAAATTTGAAGTTCCTGTTCTTCCTAGTGGCTGTGCACAATACAGGAAGAGCTTCAAACATTTTAGCAATTTTTTAATGTAAAATAGCATTCCGTAACAGCTACCTTGCATATTTCTATATAAATAACAGCTAATTTTTACATACAACCTGAAGCTTGTTATTGTTTTGTGCATTACTGAGATGTTTCAGCAAAGACCTTGGCTTTTATATGATAATTACTCATACGAAGGATTGTACAGGTGAGTATTTGTAAAGCCCATGAAAAAGTGGAGTCATAACAAACAGCGAACTATTTAAAAACGGATAGAGAACACCAGAATTTTTAAAATGGAAAGAAGTTTGTGTTCTGTTTTACCTATTTTCTCTCATGTGGTGGTTTTCTTTCTGGTCTGTGCCCTGCATAATACCAGCTTCAGCAGTGGCTTGTTCATGGCCTTCCAGTCATCTCTTTGTGGGCACAGGTCATTATGGAGGGGGCGTTCTGTTTACTTCTCCATACAGCTTACCATCCTTCTGTGGCTGAGATCCTACGTAAAGCCTCATTGCTGTTGTCATGCTTGCAAGAAATTGTCGCCTATTAGTAGGTATCTGCCTAGATCATTTTGAAAGCTTATAAAAAGAAACAGCTAATTTAGAGCTGGAGCTCCTGTTTCCAAAATGGAAGTAACGACTAATACAAATCATTAATAACTCAGCCAGTTAGCATGATAGAATATTTTTTTCCTTCTTTTTTTTTTTTCTGCTTGCAGAGATTGAAAGCAGCCTTGACCCAGCAGCACCCTCAGGTAACAAATGGAGATACTGCCAAGGGACATCCAAGTGGGTTGGTTAGGACTCAGTCAGAGGAACCCCGACCACAATCACTACAACAACCTGCAACTTCAACAACTGAAACACCGGTATGACAACGGAGTGGACGTGGACTTTCTGCCCCCTTCATTGTTATGCAAAAAAAAAGTCTTTTATTTACTCTTGATGTGTAAAATAGAGGTTAACATGAGCTACAGACACCTCTTGGAGTCAGTAGTTCTGTAGCAGTAAGATGTTTATAGTTCTTACACGTTCTTAAATGCTTCTAAAATGTATTATCTGAGATGATAATTTCAAAATAGGTATTATCTACCTGCTCAAATTTAGAACTAAGTCCTCCTGATTACTGGAGTGCATTAACAGGAAATTCTGTGGTAATTGAAAATTGTACAACTAGTTAATGTATATTTGAAAAAAATCAGTGTTTTTTTAATTTATATTGCATGTTTAATGTTTTAGATCATAAGCAATTAAGAATTTTTTAACTGAGTCAGGTATCATGCTTATGTTAATTTGCTTCAATGGTCTCTACTGGGCTGCCACAAGAGTCGTCTCAGCTGTGTGATTAAGTGAACTGTGTAATCCTGGGTACTGAAAGGGGGGCTCTGAATTTAGGAATGGTGTGCAGTCCCTTTGGGATGATAGATGAGAAGAGCTCTTGAGTTGAACTGGAAGTGGGAGTGCTTCTGGAGGAGAGGTACTTCCCTAGGTGAATCCTGGAGGATTGCTGCTGTTTTGTTTCAGAAAAACTTGTTGGAATGTGTTTTCGTGATACTTGTAAAAAAAATCTCTAAAAGTACTTTTATAATTCATAGCGTAATACCAATTTTATAACAGCTACATACTTGGCCCAGAAACAGAAGGACCTGCATCTGCAGTGATAGCACTCAGATTCTTAGACTGGCCAGTGAAATCAAATAATGTATCAAAACAAATATATCTGGAGCAAAAAGAGGAGAAAAGTTACCCATTGTAAAATGATCTCCTTCTTAAGGCTGCTGTTCTCCCATACTACCTTAAGGTTTTTAACAGAATGTTTTCTTAATACCGCATAGCAGAATTTTCAAGGTGAAAAGCTTGCTGTTTGGTTATTTTGTCATTACAAAAAAAAAAAAAAAAGGCAAGTGTTTCATTCCTAAAAGTCTGATTTGAGTTCCCAGGTGTTTTTTATTATTAGCTATCTAGAATTTATGCCAAATTGATATGCAAACTGATACATGTTTGCAGTTTTTAATTTAAAAATAAAACTTTCTCACTGTGCTGGACTGAATGTGCAGGTGCACCAGTGAATATGTCATGGAGACAGTTATATTCTGTCTATCCTATCACTTGAAAGGATTTTAAGATCCATTATATTGCTACCATAATTCATTACATCTTTGCCTTGGGTCTGTATACAGCTATGAAGGGAGTATAATGTATAATTTAAAATACTGAAATATTTTGATCCTGTCATAATATGTGGGTGGATATAAGGGAAATCAGTATGCAGTGGTGGGGAATGCATCAACAGATAGGAAATTGCTATCTGGAGATCCAGGGATCAGTGAGTATCAGCATTGACAGCATTTGTCAAACAGCGTCCATATATTGGGCATAAACAATTGTGTGGTATTTCAGTTGTGACTAGGTTTGTGGGAAGGGTCAAAAGTAGAACATTTATTTCCTGCTAAACATAACTTTTAAAA